TGTGTGTGTGTGTGTGTGTGTGTGTGTGTGTGTGTGTGTGTGTGTGTGTGTGAGAGAGAGAGAGAGAGAGAGAGAGAGAGAGAGAGAGAGAGCATGTCTGATGACGTGTCTGTGGGAATGCGCATGCCGGGGGTTCCAATAAGAAGGCCACCTGTCAGTCATTCATCAATGACTGTACTTATGAACTGTCCTGAGTAAGGGACCCAGTGCAAAGGGATCCGAAAGTTGTGTTCCTTTGTAGGGAAGCTGTGACAGATGCCCAGAGTAAGGGACCCAGGAAAGCAGATCCATGATCAGCGACCTAATAGGGAGTCAAAGGGGAGGGAACCAGTCACACAGCTATAGGTTGTGCAGGAGGAGAGTCACCTTCTTGCTCGATCATTTCATCTCGAATCTCGAGATGTTTGGAATCGGAGAACGTCTTCAGGGATATGTTTGCAGCCATTTGGTTTAAGGTGGTCGAACATTCTACAAACTGCATCCGACAGCCAAGGTTTCGGAGCATTATATCCCCGAAAGACGTTCGCGAGGGAATCCCGGACGCGAATTCGCCAAAAGGGTGAAGTGAGAGGGAGATTCAGTTGCTCCAAAAAAAACCGTCCGCTTTCCATTTGCTTGTGCATGTTGTTTGCCTAGGATAGTGACGACATAACTTGTTTGCTCGATGAGAAAAAGTTGAAATCTGATGGGGTAATTGCTAACCCTGATGGGTCGATACGGGTCAGTAGAATTTGACAAGGTTCTTGGTAGACTACTTGATAGTGATGCGGTCTTGGCGCATGACAGTTGATGATAGGGGCTGAGTTAAATGGGAATAACAGACCGGCCTAAAGTCGGAGTGGAAAAGGAACTTTTCGACTGACTGAAGAAGGAGATACTCATTGTGTTCTTTGAATAGATGGTATGAAAATTGTTATTGTTTAGTAGTGGAGTAGTAGTAGTGTATTGATGGATAGAGGCGCTTCACAGAATGAACACACAGGATGCCTTTCGAAGAATGCGGGGACTCGAGGGAGATGTTTTAAGGGAAAAAAGAAGTGTTCGGAGGGGGCAGGGGGGGGCAGGGGCTTGCGTAGATTTGATTTGATCCGTCTGTTGAACATGTTGGGTCACATATCGATTCTGCAGCAGTGTTAACAGCAAACTAACATGATGCTGCGGGGTCTACAGGACCACATAGGCGGACGGTGCTCTTGCCGTGTGGTGCTTCGGTAGTGCGGGGGAACACAAATTAATCGTTGGAGATGGAGATGGTGCAAGGGAATAGGGAGATCAACCAACTCATTTGGTAGAAATCATATGGGATATGAGCAGCAGGGAGAGCCACAGGGGATCCCGAGGGGGTCTGCCGAACTTGTCAGGATGGGATCTGGTTTCTCCATTTGAGTTGTTTGCACCCTTTCGGGAGGGAAAACCGGGGCGGCTCCGATGATAGAAGATGAACAGAAGGCACGGCATTTCTGTGGAAATGTGGGGGTGTGAGAGGGGGAAAGTGGTTTACTTTGTGTTCGGTAGCGTGATTTTTCTGTGTGCGACAATTGTTCCGACTGTTGGACTGTCTTGTATTGTTGGTGTAGGGTCATTACTTTTCTGTGATAACCGATTACGTTACGGGAATGGGGTTGTGATGTCTATATGGCCTTGTGTGTCTGTGTCAGGGTGAGTCGGTGGCACGGCGGTGTATGTCCGCATGAAGTATAGACTGGTGAGATGAATTTGGTCCGTTTTTCTAAGCTAGTTTGCACCGCGGTTTTGTGCATTAGCAGCAAAAAGGGCATCTTTAGGACCTTTTGTTGGTGTGGTGTATTCGGTTTTGTGCATTAGCAGCAAAAGGGGCATCCTGAGGAGCTTTTGTTAGTGTATTTTGACAGGCAGCCGACAGGTTGGCATCCGTGGATGGAAGGAGCGACAATGGTCTGGGATCCAGTGTTTTCTGCCCCATGCACATCAGGATCCCCTGTGGCTCATATGTCTACCACTGACAGATCGATCCTGAATATATTCAGTGTCATCAGAGTGCACGGTGGTGTATGTCCGCATGAAGTATAGACTGGTCTGATGAATTTGGTCTGTTTTTCTAAGCTAGTTTGCACCTCGGTTGTGTGCGTTAGCAGCGAAAAGCATTTTTAGACTTCAGGAGCTTTAATTCATGTATTTTGACGAGCAGCCGACAGCACAGATGGAACCAGCGACAGTGGTCTGGGATCCAGTGCTCTGTGCCCCGTGCACATCGGGATCCCCTGTGGCACGTATGTCTCCCACCGACAGATCGATTCTGAAAATATTCAGTGTCATCAGAGTCTGAGTTCTTCATGAAGGGATGTCATGGTCTGACCATCCCAAACATGCCTCTTCTTGTCATCAGATAGTAACAGGTTAACCGGTGGTTTGTACTAGCGCTTAACCGATCACCCCTTCGACGGAAGCGGGTGGTTTGTCCAATCATTTTGAGGTATGCTCTCGGTGAAGACTTGGATTTTAAGGGTTCCCCCTCTTGTGTCCATCCATCCACTATCATCCAGATCGGGTTGTGAAGGACAGCAATACAGGGAGGACTCCCGGAGGAGAGGTGAAGCCGTGCTTGCGGGATAGATATAGAAGAGAGCAGTGGTGTAAAGAAAGATGCAGGAGTGGGAAAAATGTCATTGATGAGCTTTAGATTTCCGCAAGTAACCTTTAATGCTGTTACATCGTGTTGCCTGGGAAATCCAAGTGCTAATGTGAGGAGAAGACATGTTCAATGGAGACATGTAGGATATGGAGCTGTTAGCAGGAACTCACGCTGGGAGGAGGAGGGGGG